TCTACTGTTGTGACGTGCCCCGGCCACATTCCGGCCGCAAGCACCAGCAGTGTAACTTGAAACTTTGGAATTTCTTTAAAAATAAACAATTGCACTGGGCTGCATTACGAGCTGACCTGGGCCGCAGGTTGGACAAGCTTGGTCTAAAGAGTGAAAAACCTATACACAAGGTTTATGTGTCTGAGGTCTGCACAGATGGATTAAAACAGATTGAAAATAACTGGTTGCATGGGAGAAGCAATGCACAGACTAAATGTTCATCAGGGTACCAAAAGGCTCAGTTTGGACTTTGCTGCATCTTCAGTCATGTGCAGTAACATGGCATTTGCTAAAAGAACTGTTGTGCTCTGCCTACAGGTTCAACTAACAAGAAACCACTTTCTATCTCTATCACTTTTTCCTACCGACACAAGAGGAAGGAATGGGAATCATGGATATTTATCACAATCCTAGATGAGATACACTTGTCACTCATGGAAGCTCCACTCTCCCAAAACACCTTAAAAATGAAACCTAAAAGATTCTCCTCCTGCCTTTCCAAACCCAGAACCTTTGATTGGGGTATATTTTCAGTTTGCACAGGTTTTGAAGAAAGTCTAGCTTGTCTCAGGACATGCCAGTGCTAGTCTAAATGATTTGAATAAATATAGGCTGATTGCTAATATTCCTTATATAGGGAAATGTATTGAGAGGGTGTTTGCAGACCAGCTTCAAGCATTCCTGGATAAGGAAGATTGCCTTGATCCTTTCCAGTAGGGATTTAGGCAATGCCATGTGACTGAGACAGCACTGGTTGTTTTGCAAAATGACCTGTTGAGGGAGGCCAACAGGGAAACTTTGGCCTTGTTGGTGCTCCTTGATCTTCCAGTGACTTTTGATAACATTGACCACAGTATCCTCCTGGACAGACTGTTTGGGCTGGGGATTGGTGAGCTAGCTTTGACCAGGCTCTGATTCTTCTTTGGTAGTCGGGTCCAATGCGTTCAGCTGGGATAAACCTTTTCAATCCCATGGACGATTTAGGGTGATTCAGTAGCTTTCTGCTGTGTCCAGGTTGACTTTCAAGCCAACTCAGGTTGACTTCCCTGCTACATCCCTACTAGGATGAGGGGCCTCTGAAGGCATTGGTCCATGCAGTGGTGATATCATGGACTGACTTGCTGTAAAACTCTACATGGGACTGCCATAGGGCCTGACTCGGAGACTGCAGTGGACGCAAAATACAAGTAGATTGTTTACTGGCACTAAGAAGTTTGATCATATTTTGAGTTTCTAGCCTGTCTGTATTGGCTCCTGGTGTCTCTCTAGGAAGATTCAACTTTACTTTACTTTACTTTTATTAGACTTGTACCCCACCCCCATAGACAAAGTCTTCTTGGGGCGGCTTACATGTATAATAAAAAGACAACAATATTACAGACATAATAAATCTTACGAAAACTCTAACTTTAACACATTTCTAAAAACATTGCCAAGATGAGATTGCTCAGTAAAGAAAGAATAGATCAGTTAATTGACTGGAGGGAAGGCCTGCCTAAAGAGCCAAGTTTTTAAATAGCTTTTAAAAACACCCAGTGAGGGTGCCAGATGGATTTCAGTTGGGAGGGTGTTCCATAGCCGAGGGGTCACTGCCGAGAAGGCCAGGTTTCTTGTTCTTTCCTTCCGGGCCTCTCTCGGCATTAGGACCCTCAGCCATCCCTGCTGGCTATGTTGAGTGGTTCAGGTAGATCTAAGTGGGAGAAGACGATCTGCCAAGGTCTTGATTCAAGGTCTTGATTCTAACATATGAAACTCTTAACTGTTTGGTGCCTCGTTACATGTCAGAACGCCTATACCTGATCTTCTCAAGCCTTGTTATTACAAGTGGCCATTTCTAGGGAGGCTCAAAAGGCATCTACCAGGAATCGACCCCTCTCAGCTCTGGGCCCATTCTTATGGAAAATGCTTCTCCTGGAGGTGCATCAAGCTCCATCCTTGTGCATTTTCAAGAGGTTGCTAAAAATTGAGTTGTTCATGGAAGCACTCAACGATATTCTTTCTTGAGGTGTTGGTAGGATTTGGCTTTACCTCATCCTACCGCTATTGCTAGTTGCCTTTATTCTCATGTTTAGGTATTATAATTTAATATTTGCCTGATTGTTGTACACTGCCCAGAGTAGTGATTGGCTACATGTGATGTATATTGAGTAAATAAAAAAATAAAATAATTTGCACAGCTGGGCTTTTTGTCTGTCATAGTCTGTCCACTACACATATAGTATGGATATAATAATGAAGAATGTTGCCAGCACTTGAACTGGCAGTATAATGATTATAGATCATGATCTGGAAGGCATCAAATACTATCTATTTTGCAGTTCATCAAAACTATCTTTAGAATAAATTTTCTTTTTAAAAAAAATCTATTTTATTATTATTCATACATACAAAACATAAAAAACAACAGAGTAAGACAACAAAAACAACAAAAGACAACAAAAGCAAGACATCCACACTACATCTATATATCAAGAGATTTCGCCATTGTCTATGTCATCTAATATAATCAATGGGTACTTGTAAGTACTGGTTCACCACAATAATTTCTTCCCCTAAGTTCCTGTCTCTTTCTGGACCCAATTGTACATCAGCTTCCAGCTTTCCTTTACAAACTATCTCGGTTGATCCTGTATTGCCTCTGAAAGCATATCTAGTTCTTCAATATCCAGTAGCTTCTTTAATAGCTCCCCCATCGTTGGTATTTCTCGATTTTGCCATTGGGCCAAGAGTAACCTAGCTGATGTGTATATATACAGTAGATTGTATTTTATTTTTTATCAGTAATCACTGCCATTATATTCAATAAAAACATTTCAGGTTTAAAGTTTAGTTTTTGCTGAACAACTGGACAATTTCTTGTGACATTTCCCAAACCTGCAGCCATTTTTTTAAAAAAATTTGCTGTTTCACATGATCACCATACATGATAAGTCCCTGGATTTTTATTTTTTTATTTTTTACATTTCCAACAAGTATTAATATTTTTGCCAATCTTACCGGTGTAAAATGCCATCTATAAAACATTTTAAGGATATTTTCTCTAAGATTAACTGATTTAATCAACTTATAACTATCCATATTTTCATCCAGAAAAAATTTTGCTTTTTCACATGATCACCATACATGATAAGTCCCTGGATTTTTATTTTTTTATTTTTTACATTTCCAACAAGTATTAATATTTTTGCCAATCTTACCGGTGTAAAATGCCATCTATAAAACATTTTAAGGATATTTTCTCTAAGATTAACTGATTTAATCAACTTATAACTATCCATATTTTCATCCAGTCATTTATATCTATGTTTTAACCAAAGTTTTGTGCCCATTTGACCATCCCCTCCTTCACCCTCTCATCTTTCAGGTCATACTCTAACA